CCCTTTCTTGCAAAGACTCACCATTGAACGCTCATCCGAGCACTGCTGCATTTATTCGCCTTTCGGTGGTGTGTGGTCCCACCACAGTGCCTCAGTCGAACGTACCGTCGAGGGGCAAATGTAGTCCACCATGAGGCTTGAAGTGCACGGTGGTGGTGGAGCTGTTCTGTGACAGAGTGCAATTCGGCTTAACCAGCCGTCTAGCCTGTGCTCACATCCCCTAAGCTAAGCATGTCAAGCCTGGTCCAATGTGGACATTGAGGAATAGAGTGATGAGCTTAAGAACGTCCTCGGAGGTGAGTGAGACGGCACTACGTGTTTGGCAGCGTGATGGGCTGTGTTGTCTACACAATTTACTCCTTGCTGAAGCTGCTGCCAATATGACCGATAAATAAGGGAGAGTTTAGGTCCTCAATGAAGTAAGCAGCTGAACTTGCAGGCATTCAAGGCAGTTTGCAAACTCCTACAGTCGGAAGTTCTGGTACTTTCCCATAATGGAACAAGCTGAGAATATTCGGGATGGACGATTTAGCGATACTAGGAAGTAAGTGCAAAATACATTTCTCAAACCCATCCTACTTTTGTCATGAAAAGAGATTGACCACTGAGTTCTGCTTCGTGAAAAGCACCCATGGGTTTGGCAGTTGTGTCTGTCCGAAGAACTTTTAGAGTAAGACGACATTTTTACTACGAAAGGTAACCCAAAATCTTCCTTTAATATTCTATCTGCTGCCTGCTGTGTACAGCGCTTTAGTCTCTAGAAGTCAAAACAAAACCTTGGCCCTGGCAACTCGAATTCTAGCTCCCTTCTGTCCACCAACTACATATTCCATTTCACGTAAGATTGTCTGTTGCAAAGGAAAGCCGCTAATCACTTGAAAGGTGGCCAATGCTGTCAACTGGAAAGGGAGAACGGAGAGTGGTCGTGTCTTCTCTTCTATCCAGAAGTGCACAACAAAGCCCCTTCCCATCAAGGGTGAACGGACTTCCATTTGAACGACACCCATTTGTTCCATACCTTCCACTGCAATATTCTCCTTCCAGATGAAAATTTAATCAACTCTCAGATTAAAACACTCTTGGGGTTAGTCGCGATTACTTCACCTTGCCCACAGCGACACGTAATTCTTTCTGTTTGAATGCAGAGGACCTTCCAGAAGGCGCTGCACCTGCAAGTGATTCACTGACACAATAACTTTTCCCCGGCCTATTCTGACCGCAGCTCCTCCAATTGCTGTGCAACAAATGCTACGAAGTAATCTTTATCCTTGGGACCGCGTTAAAACCGGCTCCCCCAACATCCAAACCCAGACTCGCATCGGACAGGTTTAACTGCTATCTTGTAAAACCAAGTTTAAAGGGAGGATGAAAGCAGTTGAGGGCACAATGAAGAGCAGCAAAATAAAGTATCATAACACACTGTAGGAGAGGAAGAAGGAAAGAAGGAAGGAACGGAAAAAGACACCACTTTACCCTCAATTTTGTCCCCATACTTCGTATTTTTTCAAGATTCCGGATAAGCACCGCCTCCTCCTCCGGTCAAACCACCGCATAATGAAGTACAACATTGAATCACATGAAATCCGCACTTGTAGAAGACTGAAAAGTGACTAGCTTTTGTGCCTAGAGATAAAACGTTTGGTAAAGTTTAATGCACAGCTGGCTTGCATCCTCGTGGCAGGGGAAATGACGAAACAATGCGATGTTGGTCAATTCCAACATCAAATTACCTACGGAATCATTTTTCACGCGCTTCGTTGGCAGGAAACTGTAGGAATTTATTTGCCTACCTTGTGTCAGAACCTCAGCTTTCACTGCCTTTTATGTTGCAAGGAGGAATTGTGATGATCCACTTGAATTCATTAAATCCATGTGTTTTCTCGTTACGTCTTGCCTCTTTTCGCCTTACCATGCCTCGTTCCAGCATTTAATGAGGAACCTAAGCCAATTCAGAAGTTGGACCAGTCTCCAAACAACCAAAAATGTGCTTTGGATTTTTTGCTCTGAGCTGCCATCACTTCGGCCACCGCATCCCACCCACAGCTCACGAATATGACGTCCATCCACCTTATCCCCAACGGTGACCTCACGAGTCATGCAGCACCTCCACCATTGTTGCCACGAATGCCATGAACACTCAGAAGTGCCATGAGACAGAGACTCGTGGCATCGGATTGGCACGAGCTTGGCTCTGTACTACTGGCGCGAA